CCTCAACCACCACGAGTTCAAGTCGTGTCTGCGCGCGCTCGGGTACGACCTGCCCATGGTCGAGGAGGGACAACCAGACCCAGAGTTCGAGGCCATACTCAGTCAGTATTTAATTATCACACTACACAAATTACATTTTGTAATTAACAAGGTTGATTAGGTTTTTTAAACTGCTTTATTAACTCTGATTAAAACATTTTTGTTATAGACGTTGTGGATCCGAACCGTGATGGGCAGGTGTCGCTGCAGGAGTACATGGCGTTCATGATCAGCAAGGAGACGGAGAACGTGCACTCCTCGGAGGAGATCGAGAATGCCTTCCGCGCGATCACTGCGCACCAGGACCGCGCTTATGTCACCAAGGATGAGCTGTATGCGGTCAGTACTAACATACATCACAAGATATATCTGCCTTCTATCGTTTTTGTGTATCATTTTGAAATTGAATCAATTAACAAATGCAACTTTTTTTCAGAACCTTACAAAAGAGATGGCGGACTACTGCGTGGCGCGCATGAAGCCCTACGTGGAACCGAAGACGGAGCGACCCATCCCCAACGCGCTCGACTACATCGACTTCACGCGCACTCTCTTCCAGAACTAACCCCCTCCCCCACTGCCTGCCGACAACACACGCAGTATCTTATTAAATTTAAGCTTACAATATGTCGCTTTTTCTTTCAAACCTCACCCGAAGTTGTGCGGTGGCACCCCGCTGCACGCTTTTATATTCGCTTTAACTTATCATCTTCCATTACGACTGAATGTTTAGATAGCATTTATTACGAAATATTAGTCTTGCTAGTGTCTGTAACTGAACTCTGAACGTTTCTCTAAAATGAAACTACTGGTCTGTGTAGAGTTAGCTTACCTATCGGTATGAGTCAGTGCGGGGCCTCGCTTCCTTCCCTCTGAAATAAGCAGAGGGATAAGAAACTCCCCAGTACTGTAACTTTAGCTAAACTTTTATATTGAAATTTTGCATTTTTAAATATTTATCACATTACCATTCGCTAGCTAAGATGTGTTATTTGAGACATTCTATTCTAAATTATTTATTGTCAAAGTTGTTCACCTTGATATATTTTAATTTATATTTTGTATTCACATATTAAATAAATAAATTACTATCTAAATTCCGCATTTTTTCTTTCAATTATGTTATCTACCCTATAAATGGATATATAAATGTGCTCCTTGACTATAAGCTTAGAGTCCATCCTAAGTCAGTAAAGACTATAGTGGTATCGGTTTGTATCACAGAGTACTTTGTAACATATTTTGTGGAACACCTTCACTCTGAATTGACATTGGTATTCTTGAGACCAATTTAGAAAACCTGTCTCCAGCATAACGACACCATTATCCTTTGAGACTTTAACACCTGCCTGGTAAAGAACGCCGAGCGCAGCAATACACTTCGTTACCTTGAAGCTCCGTGAATACTTCCTCTACAGCCTACTCACCATGCTTCGCATTTAACCCCGTCCCTCCTTGATCTCATTGTTATTTCAAATACGGATAAATCCTTAACCATAGATAACTTTCTGATTTCTTTTCACATAACGATTTCTTTTTTTTTTCTTACAATTTGTGTGAAACCAAACCTAAAGCTAAGTACATACAACACCACAGCCATAAGAATAATTTAGAATCTTTTTATAATATTAACATAATGCCGATCTTGCATTAAATATGATTTTTTTGGAAGGTTTGGAAAAACAAGCATTTAAGGATTAAAAAATATGTCGCTAATATTAACTAGGGTTAAAGGTTTATTAAAGATTTATACTGGATTGCTGAAGTTTCCATTTATTTCATCATTATATTGTCGCTAGGACATTACCTAACACATTATTTTGACCAGAGTTTCAAAGGAGTAAACTTCAAGTTTCCTAATTCGGAAACGTATCGCAAGTAATCGAACCTAAAACAATAACGAATGTTAGTGTTCAAATTTTAAATAAACAAAAATGAATCATGATATATACATGGGCTTTGTATCGGGGTTAAAAAAAACCAGTAGATATGCTCTGGGCATCGTAATACGAGCCGATTTATTTCTAATTACAAAAGTATACAATAATTATAATTTCATATTTTTTACAATATATTAAGATTAAAATATTTACAACTAAAGTTATACGTAGCGATAGAATGCTTGCGCTTTTCTTTACATATAATGTTAGTTTACAAATAAATAAATAAAAGTTTAATATAGTTTACGTAATTTTTATATTCGCGATATTGGAGCGAGTGACGTAGACGGTTATCGTTTGCCTTTATGACGTCAGAGTGTTAGAGCTGC